GGTACCGCATTCAGCTCACATAAGAATGAGGAATTAAAACTTAGATACAATACGTCGTAAAACTGTATGCAAACTTATCTAGACAAATTCTTACATTTGCGAACTTATATACGATGAAAGCTTTCAACACATTTACTGCATATCCTGCACCAATTATTACATTTTAATTCAAGTTTCCCGCGTATTTGCGCTGTAATGGTAGATCCGTACTGCAAATTTCTAAAGAGATTTTCGCATACTTCAAAACTTTCGAAATATTTGATCAAAGATATCATCAACCATCAAGGAAAGTTTGTAACTCTTGGGAGCACGCTTATCACTTTATTGCTTTTCTTTTTACCTTTAGGATGATATGTTAATTAAACCAGTCTTTCGTTCATTATTGGCAATTACATGAACAGCGTTGACATAAAAAAGTGAAAAGAAATGCGAAGAGTCACGCACAGTCAAGAGGGTCAATTTGTTGTTATTTTGTCGATTAGGTTCAATCACAAGTTGTCCTTACTGACAGGTTAAGTACTACTACTCCTACTTCAGTATCTTTGTAATGGTGTACCCGCTTACCATACTCTTTTCCTCGCTCGAACTACATCTCGTTACTGTTACCAGAACTCTGTCAAGCATTACAACCGCATGCGCGTTGCCCTCGTTGCGTTCAACCACGAATAGCACCTGTAATTTAGGAAGACTTAATCCTCTTTCCCTCATTCATCTGATGGAACATGATATGTGGCTCATAAAGGGGTGACTCGAAATATGACGGAATATACATATCTTCAATCTGTGCTTTTCACCATGAAATACGTCGAGATGGCGTTCGCTACGCTTATCACTCGTCTCATGGATAATTTCGAACGATCGGGACTCTATTTGGGAGATAAACGATGAAAATCCGATTCGTTCGCACCTGAATATCCTTTCCGCTCGGCACGGTGATCTGCTGGCTGATAATTTGACTTTGTCGCGATGGTTCCACTCGGAAACAATTCTCGTCTCGGATGGGATGGTACCATCGTCTCCAGCACAGCTTCAGTCGTGCAGTAGGGCTTTGCCAATGCCTTGAAAATTTGAACTAGTATGTTCTATTAAAGAAGTTTTTATATTGTAAGTCGTGGAGAGAAAGAACTAGGCAGCTATTCAGTTTAAAAGGAATCTTGATAAAAGTATGGGAAGCTTCTTTACGAACTTAATGATGTTGCCAAACAAAGATTGGACCTTAAGAATGCTATTTTCTGGTGTGTTTAAGCAATAGAAGAAAGAAAATCAAGTTGAATTAGCACTAAAAGATACACGAATAAGGCGATTACGACTTATAAGCAAATACTTAGAAGGATGCTTTGAAGCACAGTTTATAATCTTACAGTATATAGACCCTATTCTAGATGGTTAGGTATTCCAGCACTTTTCTACTGAGAATGCAAGAACTGGAATGCAAGACTGCGAAGTAGTTAAATAATTGCAGAAGTTAATACAATATTAAATGAAAAGCATGAATCAAACCTAAGCAATCATCAATCTGTCGAATGTTTTTATTCATAGAAATGACAAAACCTTTGTTTGATGACACTGAAGATTGAAAGATTGAAAAGAAGGGAGAGGAGCAAAAGCTATGAGCTGTTTCGACTTGCACAGACCTACCACCTTATAAATATGATAGCCGATGTGAATGGTTGAACAATCCAAAACTTTGGGTAAGCAAGATTATTATGTATCACTACAGAAATGATATGATTTTTTGACACATTGTCATTCATTTACAGCGTAGAACTAGAATTTGCAAGCATGAAATTTGCCTTCTTCACAGCCACTGCTACACGCTTACCTTTTCTTAAACATTTTCTTAAAAATTCTGGTTGATTTTCCCACCCTCGATAATTACCACTTTTCTTTCGGGAAATTTACGAATCGTGGATCCACGACTGGAAATGAAGGACTAGATTTTCTCAGAAAACCTTGCGATAATTTCGGCGTTTTCCTAAGTAGAAAGCTGAGGCAAATAACATGTTTGAATTCGAAGAAAGTCCGACTTACTCATATGCCGCGAGCAGCCGGCGATTTGCGAGATCGTAAATACACACCCGCTATTGTGTCGTTTAAATTTTGTGCGGTGATATTTTACTGTAAAGTTTTGATGAGAACTCATTCTACGTGCAAAAAAGCCATCGCAACTTCTTGTAAAGCATTGCAAAATAAAGTGGATAATCATAGTTAACTTCATCAATAACCCTATTTAAGAAGTTTTGGTCAATTTTAAGAGTCATCTATAAAATAATTAGTCTTACTGTTTTTGGTGCGCTTTGGTGTTAACAGCATGTATTTCTTTTCGAGAATCAAAACCGGTTATCAAACAAAAAGAAAAGTGGAATAAGGGCAAAAAGACATGAAATTGGGGTAATTCCAAAAGGTTTGAACTGCTCTTCAAGAAAATGCTTCGAATTCTTTGTTGCTCTCCACACTTCTGCACTCCATGAAAATCCCATAGAGATAGCTATCAAACGACTCAGCAATGGTAGTTATAAGAAGCATCATTAGGCAATGCTGAGGAAGAATGTTAGAAAATTTCGTTTAGAATTCAGTTTTAGCTAATGCACGAAATGAAAAAGCTGGATCCCACACATGCTTTCACTTTCCGCCGTGTTTTTGCCGTAGCTGGTAGGTGAAATAGGTCAGCTGTACTCCGCTAAGAGCGGGTCTTGGAATTTCGAACGAACAACACATTATCGCAACAACTGGGTAGCGAAGCGATGAACGCGCTCGAAATACCGGATTCGCTCTTAGGCTTACCTGTATTGAATGGTCACCTTGCCATCTGCGGAGCAGAAAGCACACGAACCAAACGCTGCCTGGCCTTCAAAGCCATTTTGGAGCAGGTAGTTACCGACTGCAAAATTTCCCAGAAATTTTTCAAATGTGTCCGAAATGGGACTGGAATCAGAACCTGGCGGAAGGCGACTTCTTCCAACAAGAAACGTCCGTCGAAACTCGTTGATGTTGATGGAACGACCGCTTCGTACCAGCCATTTCGCATCTTCGTTCAACGACTGCCAGCAACATGGCCGCTTGAAGTCGCAACTCAACTCGTCAGCAAGAATAACTAAATACACCCACAATTAAAAGACTATCAGAAATATTAAATAATGGGGTGACCACCTCGCAGCGCAAGGGCGATGAGACCGGCACTGCGGCACAGCATCCACGACTTGTCCTATCATACGCCCGCCCACTAAGCGCCGAAGAAATCTCATCAATATGCAAAGTTGCAGCGATCCGTAGATCTATATGATCATGGGGATTTCTTCTCAAAAATTCC